GGTCTTCAGGAGTTTCTTGAAAGTTGAAAAGGAAGCCCCTGTTCTTGTAGTGCTTGGTAGGTCATTCCACATATGTGGAACGATGCATAAGAAGAGTTTGGATTGTCCTGAGCGTGGTGTAGGCACTGCTAGCCGACGATCCTGTGATAGCCGGAGCGGCTGGGCCGAGACGTAAGCCTTTGCAAGAGGATTCAGATAGATGGGAGCCATACCATCTCAGACTTTGTATGCTAGTGTTAGCAATTTGAATTTGATGCGTGCTGCTAGCGGTGGTCAGTGGAGCTCAATGAACAGAGGGGTGACGTGTGCTCTTTTTGCCTGATTGAAGACCAGACGCGCTGCTGCGTTCTGGACCTTTTGAAGAGGTCTCACGGTACATGCTGGAAGACCAGTTAGAAGGGTATTGTAGTAATCAAGGTGGGAAATGACAGTAGATTGCACCAGGAGCTGGGTGGCATGTTGTGTTAGGTATGGTCTGATCTTTTGTATGTTATACAGCACAAAGTGGCATGAACGAGCAACAGAGGCAACATGATCTTTAAAGGTCAGGTGTTCATCAATCACCACACCCAGATTTCGAACTGCCTTTGAAGGAGCCAGAAATAGGAAGTCATTTTGGATTGAGATATTGTGATGTATGGATGGTTTTGCTGGGATGACAAGTAGTTCGGTTTTAGAGAGGTTGAGTTGGAGATGGCGGGATTTCATTCATTTTGATATGACAGAGAGACAGTTTGATATTCATGCAGAGACAGTGTGGTCGTCCAGTGGAAATGACAGATAGAGCTGGGTGTCATCTGCATAGCAGTGGTAGGAGAAGCCATGTGATCGAATGATCTCACCCAGTGAGGTGGTGTATATAGCAAAGAGAAGAGGTCCTAGTACAGAGCCCTGGGGGACTCCTGTGGCAAGATGGTGCACGGTAGAGGATTGTCCAAGTCAAGATACACCGAATGATCGTCGTGTGAGGTATGATTCAAACCAGGCATGTGCTTTCTCTGTGATGCCTGTTGGGGTTATTAGGTAGCGAATAATTAGTAAGCTTCTACTTACTTTTGGATTCTTCAGTAAATTCTGTAAATATGGGAATATTTACTGATTTATTAATTAATTAAGATATTCTTAGATATCTTCGGGGCACCATCCCCTTTAACCGGGAAAAAATTGAATCCAAAACCCTTATCAGTCTATCTTAAAGATGTGAATCCTAGGAGCAGAGATTTCTAGTCAACACAAGAAGTCGCTTGAGACAAAAATCTGAATTTTATAATATTTAATTAAACAATTTGTCAAATGAATAAACAATGAAATAAATGAATAATAACCATGTGATATAATTGAAGATGTAGGTTTGTGTGTGATGGAGGATGTATGAATGGGGTCCTTTGTTCTCACAAAGGAGTGGTGTGTGTGCGTATGTATGGATTCAAAATGGAGTCTTGAATACAAGATGGCTGACCCCTTTGTCTGGCTAAAGTGTGGGTGGCAACTTGCACTTTAACTTCCAAAGCACTTAGAATCAGAAGTAACTTAACCTTAAAATCACTCAAAACATTTCAAAATGGTCATGAAACAACACAAAAGGTTAATCCTGAATTAATATCTGATAAGTTTGTCAGCTTGGCCACAGCTAACAGACACAACCCAGATATTTAAACAATCAAGCAAACAAACCAGCTTACTTCTCTTTAAAGATGCTTCTGTGGCGTATTTAGTACGAAAGAGGAAAACACGAAGCTACTTTTAAGCAATAGCGCGGTTTTATTGCTTGTTCTGGACTATAGAGGAAACGGGAGAAGAAAAGAGATAGAGAAGATGAGTTTTCTGATCACCAGAACATCGAGTCGTCCCTCCCTGTTTGATTTGACAGTTTTCCGTGGTTTTCTCCGCAGTTCGGCGTCGTCCGTTGGTTTGATGGCTTTCCCCGCTGGTTTCAGCGTTCTCCGTGAGTTTGATGGAGTTGCTGTTTTCGGCCCGGTTCTGTGTCCTCCCCTTCAGCAGCTAGGGCAGCGAGCGGTTGAACAGACCTGATGGGCTTGTAGCTTAGCTTTCCAGCGGTTCCGTGAGCTCCACTTGAGCACTTAGACCTCCCGCGTGCTCAAGTCAGTCGGAGCGTGCAACGAGCGTGTCCTTACAGCCAGTGATCCTGGGCAAAAGAACAATAAGGACGTTGTTCCGTTGTAATTTATAGCCTTCGGAGTCGCGGGAAAACTCCATGAGCTCCCGCACATGCGCAGAACGTGTTTCTGGTATTAGGCGGTGACGTCTTCACATTGCTTCCGTGTGCAAAGCATCATGGGAAATGAAGTTTCTTGGCACTGATGTGATTATTTGCTTTTCAGAGCAATTTAGCACAGTCTTTTGGAGAAAATTACAGCAGCAATTTCTCACGAGGGCATACCCTCAACATGCCCATGCTAGAGAGTGTGGACAAAAAGAAGCCATGGTGGACAGTGTCAAATGCAGCGGATAAGTTGAGCAGGATAAGTACTGAGGATTTGGCAGTCACACTAGCTTCTTCTAAGGATTCCGTCACTGCTAAGAGCAGTTTCAGTGGAGTGGCCCTTTCTGAACCCAGATTGGTAAGGGTACAGCAGACAGTTTTGTGAGAGGTATTCTGTGATCTGCTTGAAAGTCTACCGGATGTCAATGAAGCGTTGATCACATGTGTGACTGCTGCGGCTACTGTAGGAGCAATAGCTTGGAGCAGCTTAGTCAGAATGGGGTCGAGTGGGCATGTAGTAGGGCGGCTGCACGTGAGAAGCTTGGGGACACAGTTCTCAGTGAGAGGGGAAAAAGAGGAAAATGAAGCAGTAGGGCTTGAGATGGTTGGGCTAGAAGGAGTTTGTGGTGGCGAATGTTCAGGGGTGGCCAGTTGAGTAAACTGTTTGTTTATAGCTGCCACTTTGTCAGTGAAGAATGGGCAAAGTTGTCAGCTGATAGACTGTTGGTAGGAGGTGGAGACGGAGCGTTGAGCAGAGTTTTGAATGTCGAAAATAGTTTCTGAGAGTCAGTAGAGCGGAGAATTTTGTCAGTGTAGAAAGCTTTCTTTGCATCAGTGATGCTGGCAGAGAATGAGAACATTAATTCATGAAATTTCAATTGATCACCAGGATCTTTTGTTTTGCGTTATTTCCGTTCCGCAGCTCTAAGATTGGTGCATAGAGACCAGAGGGTATCATTTAGCCAAGGGTGCGACTGAGAGGATCTAGCAGGTCTAGTGGCTAAAGGGCACAAGTTGTTGAGACAAGAGCAGAATGTGGAGCAGAGTGACTCAGTCTTGCTTCAGCACCATCATCAGAACCCCATTTCCTGGTTTCACGACGTGTGGTTAAAAAAGCACAAGAAAATTCTGGGAAATCACTGTTGATTTCGTCTCATTTTCAGCTAAAAATCTTATTGTCCGATTTTCAAGGTATTTTCTCTGTCACTCTGGACTCTAGTTATTTCATCCACAGTTGTACACACAATGGTTCTTTCAGCTCAAAATCAAGGACTCAAACATCCAGCCATTACTTCATTCAAAAATGTGCTCTATTCACTTATCTTATAACAGAGGCACACAGGTGAGTGTGTGTGTGTGTAGGAAAATCGTTATCAGCCGTCCCTCCTCTTGAGACATGAGAAAACTCATGGCTCACCAGACACAAAACATAAACAAAACAGGTCTGATACCGGCAAGCATTGCGCCAACCCGATGCAAAAGTTGGACCTCACATAACATGTTTCCCCTAAAAGTACCCATCCCAAGGAACTTGCAATTACCAGTTTGCATCAGCAGGGGGCAGAGTCGTGCAGCACAGTGTGCATAAGACAACAAAACAAAACAAGACAAAACAAACCAACAAAAAGCCTTAATCAGTGTAAAGAAAATTGAAAATAAACACAAAAAGTGATTTACATCACCTAGAAGTAAGAGGAGAAATCACAGAAGAAGAGCTGTAGCAAAAAAACTGTAATCAAACGAAATTTAAAAAATCAACCCATCTGGGAAAAAACGGGTGAGCTTGATGTCATGGACTCTAAGCGGGTTGCTCTCCTCATGCCAGAATGCTCACCTTTATTTACACCATCACAGCTAAATTAGGGAGTATGTCCAAGACCAAGTGACTTTTTTAATTTGATCTCTTTGCTTCCAACACTGGAGTTAACAATGAAGCCAGTCCTAATTATAAAAATAATTCTTCAACTTCACATAGATTCAGTAAGGTAAGGTTGCTTCAGAGTACATCAAAAATGCACAATGACACTCAATATTGTCACTCAAATAATGCGTAAAATGTGTCAACAGTGGATAAATACTGCCAAAATAAAACTCCGTAAGTGAAAATGAACAACAGATTAATGTAAAGAAAATAAAACTAATTTGTCACATAGAGACAGTCAGCTTTCAAAAAAAAATTGAAGGTGATCTTGGGATAGAGGACGCATGTGGAGATATAGCAGCTGATTCTTTTCATGGCTGGAATCGCCATGCTATGAGATATTTCCCCCGCTGCTTGGCCTTGGTTGGTTGCTTGAATGTGAAGTTTCATTTTACAGGTTAATTGAGGGTTTTTTCCCATTGTGTGTGTGTTTTTGGATTTGCGTGTAGAGTTCTGAGAATATGAGGCATGCTTTCAGAAAATGTGTGTAAACAGTTGAGAAAAACTGTAATAGAGCCATGCTGAGTGAGGGTGAGGTAGAGGACTCAGAAACTACAGAAACAGCTGGAGTTAGTGGATGTAAATTAGTAGGGTTAGATCCACGGTGTTTATAAAAACCACTTATGGAGGGAACAGGAGGAGAAGCGTTGGGATGCTTGCTACTTATAGTAGCAGGTGACGCGTATGTCAGAGTTACTGGCCAATCAGGATTGTCGTATTGAGATAAGTGCTTCTGAGGAATCCGCGGAGGGGCGTATCCCATAGTGAGATATCTCAGTCATGTTACTCAGAGAACCGGGGTTACGACAGTAACCTGAAGTTTTGAACTTTGACTTTACTTTGTGTTTCTTACAGGGGGACAGGGGGTACGAGGGTCCCAAGGGCAACCGTGGACCTCCAGGACTTAGGTCCAAAGGTGAAAAGGTATAGTTAGCTAAGGCTAAGATTACCAACAAAGGTGTATAATTAAGCTGTCTTAATGCTGACCTGCTTTTTCTCTCATTATTGTGACTTTCAGGGAAACATGGGTCTGCCAGGTCTGCCTGGTTTAGTTGGGTTTCCAGGTGAAGGCATCCAAGGAGAAAAGGCAAGGCAGATTTTATCATACTATTTTAAAAATGTCTGCTCGTATCTGACCCATGATTGCAAAGCTCTGCTGGAGGTTCATCTGGCTGCTAACTTAGTGGATTCAACTTACAGTCATGACCAGGAATTCCTGCCTCCTTTCAATAACTATGTTTTAAATGTTATCACTTTACTCCTTATCCAGGGCGAGCAAGGACCTGTTGGCCCTTCTGGTCCTAGAGGACCTCCAGGACTGGGAACAATTGGATCAAAGGTGAGCAGCAATATTTAATTGGCTAATTCATTCTGTGGGGGTGGGGTTTGTGGTGGGGCAGAGGGAGAATGGAGTTCCAAAATCATTTTTAGGGCCATCTGAAATCTGCGCAACCAAACATGAAAAGCTTCTGCACAAATTCCAACCTGTTCTTGGTGTGAAGTGGACTCCTATAGGCTTACCCCTGGTCTCTTGATTTGTTTGTGGTGTTGATGGATTAGCTCTCAATGCTTAGTGATGGAGAAACAGGTTCCAGAACATCATAGTCTCATTCTGCTTTTCGCAGATGATGTGATTCTGTTGGCATCTTCAAGGCATGATCCTCGACATGCTATGAGGTGGTTTACAGCCTGGATGCAAGTCAGCTCATCAAAGTCTAAGGTCCTGGTTCTCAATCTCAAGCATTCAATGTGGAAGGCTCTCTCCAGGTTGGGAGTGAATCTTTACTTCAAATGGAGGAGTTATAGTATGTTGTTGTCGTGTTAACGAGTTATGTTGGGATAGAGGAGATGGGTCAGCAAACCAGGGTTTTGTGTGTAGCTCAGAGTAGAGCTGCTGCTTCTCCTCATCAAATGGACCCAGATGATGTGATGGTTCCTGGTTTTCAGGCTTTTCCAGGCCACTAGACGGAGACCTAGTTCAGACCCAGAATTCACTGGAGGAATTATACATTCTAATGGGCCTCATCAGTGCTGGACTGACCATAGGGCATAGCGGGCAACTGCCCGCTGAGCCGACCCTTTCATCTTTTATGGGCCGGTGTCTGTTTTTTTTTTTTTTTTTTTTTTCCTGGCCTCTAGTTGTTGCGGACAACTTGCCCGCGCCGCCCCACGCGACTCCTCGTAAAAGTTGGTGGATTGGCCAATTGGTAATAATACTGGACCAATAGCCAGAGGTCTGATGCACCCGCCAGTTGTTTGTGAATCTCAGTAAACAGACGGACGAGCTTTACAAAATGGAGAACAAAAAACGGAAAGGAGAAGCGGAGAAAATTCGACTAAAAAAGAAACTGGCCCTTCAGGCTGATGCTGGCACATGTGTTAAAATCTCACAGTTGTTTGGTAGTGAAGGTTCAAGTAAAATCAATTTAGGAAGTGATGGAGCCTCAGCCCAGCGACAGGTTGGAGAAGAAAAGAGGGAGGAGGAGGAGAAACCCGAGCCGGTGTTGTGCCATAAATTGACTCGCTGCCAAGAAATGATTAGCCACCGCGGGATCGCGCACGGTTAGGCAATTGCATTTCTTGACAAAATTCCCCAGGATTTCACCCTAAAACTCAGCATATCTAGCAATATGGACATTCAGAAAGCAAAGATAACCTCTTCCGGTACTTAAACAGATGTTTATCGCGGATATTAGTGTGGCAGTGTTTGTGGCACCCTGCGCGGGAGCACGAGGACGTGCTTGTGGAAAGAGGGAGGAAGATGTGGCAGTGTGGTGAGCATCCACAATATCTCGATTGATCATGTGCCCTGGCTGCTTGGCCAAGGAGATGTCCCTTTGGCTGATTGGTTAGAGCGTATGACTTTCACCCGGGAGTCTGGGGATCGAATCCCGCCGGGGCACTTGTTTCTGCACCTTGCCACATTAGTTTTTCCAGTTCGGAAGTTGTTTTAAGTGTTGCTATTTGTCTTAAACCTTCACAATGAGGATATATTAATCCTTTTTGCAATATTTGCGATTGAAAGATGGTTTGTGCCACAAACTTTGTGGTAAGAACTGGCTTTCTTTATGTTACAGCCTTGATACTAAAAAAAATAAATAAACAATGTAAAATGGCACCCTGTATTGAATGTAAACGTTGTATAAATGGAAATAAACAATTCTCCAGCGATTTAATTTTTTCCCCTTCCTTTCTTTAGTCCACTTGACATGGAGCCACAGTTAACTAGTTTGGGGCACATTTTTACTTGAAAAAAAGTATTTAAAATGATCAAGCTTTGGCTTTACAATGACACTGTGTAGGTTGCTATTCATTACGTTGCTCTATTTAAAAGTAACAAGATAAAAGCACTTCAGCACATAAAATCAAGATTGTCACTTGCCAAATAGACTACACCCTCCCGTTTACCTATAAGAAATGCCTCAAAATATCTTTAAATTCTTTATTGATGATTTAATTGTAGACAACTAAAATGGCATTTTACTTGCCAAAAAGTGATTGAATCGCTAAGATTTTCATGGAGGCTAAAATTGACCAAATAAGGGTTTTATGTATTATCTGTTGACGTTACTGTACTCATACTGCCTACTGTATCATCAAAAACACCCCAAAAATGGCAAAAAAAAAAAAAAAAAAAAAAGAAGATAATTTCCCTTGCCAAAAATTGATTACAGTGTCCTGGTCACCTGTAAAGGGTTACATTTACCTAAATATTACTTTATTTATTATCTCTTGATGTTATTAGTTCCATCACAGGATGCCGGTGTCTTTCACATTCATAAAAACCTCAAAAATGGCAACAAATGATCATTTCCCTTGCCAAAAATTGATTACAGTGTCCTGGTCACGTGTAAAGGGTTAAATTGACCTAAATATTACCTTATTTATTATCTCTTGATGTTATTAGTGCCATCACAGGATGCTGGGTGTCTTCCACATTCATAAACACAGAGTCCTGGTCACCCATAAAGGCTTAAATTGGCATAAATATTACTTCATTTATTATGATGCTGGGTGTGTTCCACAATCATATTCGAATAAACGTGAAAATATTCTGTCCGAATATCTGTTTCTTGTTATAAATATAACAGCTAGAAGGATTTACAGTTAAAATAGGAGAAACACGTGACTCCCCAGGAAGGGTCGTAACACCACTCGCCTCATGCACATAAGTGAACAAAACAAAGCAGCATGGAGACACTCCATCTCCAACCACCTCTCAGGCAGCAGCCTGCACTCCCAAGTTCTACACGTCACCAGAACATAAACAACTGCAACACAATAAAAGCAGTGTTATACAAAATGGAAGGCCTGTAGTGTTTATTCTCTTACAGTAACAACTTTTCAATTTTTTGGAGGAATTTATTTGAGAATTTTTTGGTTTTTATTAATTGTGCAATAGAAAAGTAATCGCTAGATTAATCATCTAAATAGTCATTAGAATAGTCGACTATTCGATAAAATAATCGTCAGAATAATCATTTTAAAAATAATCAGTTACCCCCAACCCTACTTTTTAGAATACCAGGATAGGAAGGATGGTGTAGGTTTATGTTTATTAGATTGATACATAAATACTACCAATAAGAAAGTGTACGTTGGTGTGTGTCAGAAACAGCATAAGGCTTAATGTCTTTTCCAAAAAAAACAGGTGATGGGCCGGTCTCCAGTCAAAATGCCCGGGCTGAATTTTTGTCCCAGTCCAGCCCTGGGCCTCATAATTCCTCAGGATCCCACTGGGAGAAGTGTCAATGAAGATAGGGAGTTCTTGGCCTCTCTCCTGAAAGGGCTGCATGAGATGACAAAAATCTCTCTTCCAAATTAAATGAATTTCTATCCTGACTTTAATATACACTGAACAAAATTAGAAATGCAAAATTTTTGTTTTTGCTCCCTTTATTCATGAGCCGAATTCAAAGATCTGAAACATTTTCTAAATAGACAAAAGACCTATGACTCAAATATAGTCACAAATCGGTCTAAATCTGTGTTGGGGAACAGTTATTTTCCAAGATAATCCATCTTACCTCACAGGTGTGTCATTTCAGACTTTTTAGACAACATGAAAATTGCACTGGTAAACCTTAGACTGGCCAAAATAAAAGCCCCGAAATGTGCAGTTTTACAATCATAATTTATTGAATGCCAAAAACAAGCCCTACACCATAGGGGTGGGAATTGATAAGTTTATATAAAAACAATGCCATTGTTGATTGTGTCTTTCAATCCAATTCCTTATCAATTCCTGAATAGTTTAGTACAGAGGTGTCAAACTCAAACTCACACGGGGCCGAAATGAAACTCTGGGACGGAGTCGAGGGCCAAACTTAATATTTTTTGAAAAGTGACAGCAAATTTGCACATTTTCTTTATCAACATATATGCAATTTTGAACCTTTAAATTTGGAAACAAACTTATTTCTGCATTAACACTGAATGTGGAATAACCAAATTACACACGAGCAAGTCAGTTTTAAATAAAAGGCATCAGTGGTATTCATTACTTGTGGTATAATCAGCATTTTTAAAATCTTTTAAATCTTTAAATCTTTTAAATCTTTTCTCACGGGCCAACAACAAAATAAAAATATCATTTTATCTTAAATGAAAATGCAACATCTCACCTGTTAACTTTCATGTTTTGGAGCAGAAAAAGAGCATAAAACCAACATATTTAAAGCTCGGTTTGCTCCACTGGTTTACTGTGATGCTCACCTGTTCCAGCCAGATACCTGCATCATGGGGTTGATCTGAGCTGAGGAGGAGACTCCTGTTGTTTTGTTCATCTTCATCATAATAATGACAACATTAGATGACAACAGGTGCTCACATAGGTTTGTGCTGCTGAACATGTCTGAGCAGCTTGACCACGTTGTTGTGTGTCGGGGAGGAAACATAGCCACAGAGCCGTGCTGGTTTGAGCGTGTCGCTGTTTGCTGGAGTTATATCAGCTCTGTCTGGATGTTAGTTGGAAAACTTTCTCTTTCAGTCGTGAACACATTACTGAGCGGCTAGAATCTCCGTTTCTGGGCTTCAACGTCAGAAAATAGCTGAGTGAACTCGGCGCTGAGTGAGAGGAGTGTAGTTTGTCTGAGACAGCGGAGCTGCAGACACCGGCAGCAGGCGCTGGAAAAAACACAAAGGAGGGGGCGTGTCGGCTCTGCGCTGATGCCGCAAAGCATCATGGGAGTTGAAGTCTTTGCGGTAAAATCGGCCAGCGGGCCAGTTTTAATATATTTTTGATATTTATCTCGCGGGCCACATAAAAATTTTCCGCGGGCCTTGAGTCTGACATATGTGGTTTAGTAGGTGGTAAAAAAGTTAGTGTGCGTAATCTCCTTCGTTGTAACTGTCAGTTTATAAATGATAAAAAATCAAGTGTACCTGGTATCATTTAGAAGGATCTTTCCAAATGTTCTCTTTTACGCTCCTCGTGAAGGCTGAGTCATCTTCTTGTTTGGTGTAGTGTTGCTGTAGCTTTAACAAAATGTAACTTTTGCAAAGTGTAACTTTTACCAAATAAAACTTTTGCAAAATGTAACTTTTACAAAATGTAACTTTTACAAAATGTTACTAAATGGGCAAAATTCCACCACAGATGGTGCTAACATGGTGCAAATGGTACCAACATGATGGGCAGTGTTACTTGATTAGTTACCTACAGCATTGACATGAGAGGACGTGCAAACGTCACCGCTGCTGCATTAAAATTCACTAGTCCAGAGCAGGTCAACAACACAAAATTCACTTTAAGTTATCCTGTATTTTGTGCGCTAATGCTTTTGCATATTCGTAGCGTTTCCTGTCTTTGATTAAATATCTACTTAGCAAGTTGCCCTGTTGTCACCCTTTCTTGTAAAGTATAACCAAACCTTCGAGTGTTCATGCTGCTTAGGCGCCATGTTTCCTGCTGAGTAAATGTGTAAGCAACACATGGTGAGGTCCTTCACGCCGACTGGAATTGATAAGGAAAATGTTCGCAAAAATGGCAAGCAAATCCTAGGAACTGAAACAGTGGAAACCGGTTCTCAACAAGTCTGTAAGCCAGTCAGAAAATTCCTGATGGAACGAGAGGTGTTTGAATGTTGAGGGTGAATGCCCATTGTGAGCAGGATGCCGTGTTTGCAGCTTCAGAGGATCCAGACCACTCCCCTGAAGTCTCACAAAGTCACGCTTTACCATAATCCACGTTTACACCTCTGGACAGACGAGCTAGTTAGCTGGTTAGCATTTATCGTAACGTGTTTATCACGGTGGAGCCTCAGAAAGAGACAAAGAAAACATTCTTTGAAAAACAAGAACGTCCGACCCAACAACAGGAGTCAAACAAGAGTAATCAGGATTTTTCTGAATTGCGAGAGCTCAGAGATGTGGTTCCTGCATGTTTTAGATCACAAACAACTGATTTGTTTTATTTTGTGATGAACCGCTCCTGTAGAAACTAGTGAAAGCTGGGGAGACATTGCGGCTGTTAGATTAAAGTGTTAAAAAGAGGGTTAGGGCTAAAAACTGCAAAGTTTGCCTCTAAAGTTGCTACATTTTGCATCAAGTTTTTCTTTATAAATAAAAATGTTTGCTTGGAAAGTCACTTATGCAGTTTTCAGATCCTGTAATATCAGATGTTTGTTGAAGAGAGAGAGAGTAAGAGAAGACTGGTGTGTGTGTGTGTGTGTGTGTGTGTGTGTGTGTGTGTGTGTGTGTGTGTTTGTCTGAAGAAATTCTTTTAACTTTTGTTTTTTTTCAAGCTATTTTGAACAAGTTTTTGATTTTTCACCTTGGATTTGTGTTTTCTCGCAGGGTGACCAAGGTTTCCCCGGAGAGCATGGTCTACAAGGAGAGAGGGGCACAGGTGAACCAGGACCAAAGGTAAGAGAACAATATGTGAAGAAAACCAGACTAGAAGAACAACAGAACCAACATGATTCAACTTGGTGAATGTAACTTTCCAGGGGGAGGCAGGATCTGATGGACCTGCTGGGATACCTGGTATTCCTGGAGAAGATGGAAGTGTTGGGCCGAAGGTAAGTATTTTTTGTGGTAGTTAAAAAGAGTTGAAAGCATTATGAAATCTGACAGAAAGCAGTCTGCAGTAGAGGCCTACCCTCCATGTAAAACACAGATAAAGCATTGGGCCATTTCTAGTTCAGGTTGAATATTTGGCCCATTGTGGTGGTAAAGGTCAGAATTTCAGGAACATGCGGCAGTGCCTGGCCCGGGCTCAGGGGCCTCGGGTAGACCTTGGATCCTCTGCTGTTTCATCAAAGGGGAGGGGGATGTCCAGGAGGGGGAGGACCCAACCTTACCTGGATGTCCCATGTCTTATATATTCAGGAAGTTGTGCAAATGCAGGGATGGGAGTAGATATTCTGCTGGGGTGGTGCCCTTGGACTCCGTGAGGCTCTGTGATGCTGCTGCTTTGGGCCCTGGCAAGATGGGCTGGGGTCTCCATGCCCTGGGTGGCATTTTGGCAACAGAGGTGCCTATTGGGGCCAGTGGGGGAGCTGGCTCCCTGGAGGGCTTAAGTCCAACCAGCCATTCCTCCCCATCCCCACACATTTTTCTCCTCCTGCTCCCTCACATCATCACACAATCATGCACATAGGACCTTGGGGGTGGACAAGTCAGGGGGTGCGGGTATGGACCTCATTTCCACCTTCCTGTGGCAACCTGCCCCCCAATTTTATTTGCACCTTATACACTTCCACCAACGACATTCCATGCAAACACACACTTTGGGCCTTGGGAGTGAGCACATTCAATGGCATTTGGCAGGGGGATTTTTCAGCCTCATCCCGAGTAGTGATGGGATTTATGGCTCTTTCATGGGAGCCCTTCATTAGTCGGTCGTTAACCTCAAAGAGCCATTCAAAAGACTGGCTTCTTTGAGCGAACCCAACAGGGGGTATCAAGAACAACGTCTTCCTGTGGTGTGGTCCGTGAGGGCGCATGGGGTTGGTTAGTGTTCCTCCCAAGATATGTATATAAACACGTGTTTCTATGGTTCCTACGTCGTCACAACGGTGGGTGGGGTTTGAGCGGGTGAGTTTGACCGACCTCCGGGGAGTTTTGTTAAGATGATCGGCTCTCTACAGGGACTCGGCTCTCATCATTCACTTTGAAAACCCGTTCAAAAGATTTGATTCGTTCGTTAACGTCACATCACTAATCCTGAGTGCCGGGGCCCACTTCCAATTTTAAATTGCACTTAGACACTGAGGGCTGTGGGTGCAAGTGGGGTAGCGTGGTGGCATCAGCTGGTGTAGGCCAGACGATACCCGCACTGCCCGCTCACCACAGCCATGGAATACACCTCATCAACACGCACTAACACATATTGGAGCAGGCGGAGGGAGACTAGGGGGGTTAGCACACCTCTGTTGTCACTTGGCTTCCCGGGGCTGGAGGTTAGGAGGGAGATCTGGCCGTCTGGGTTGGGGACTGGGGTGGTGGTTGCTGTGCTCAGCGTTGGGTGGGGAAGCCTGTTCATCAGCACCCCAGCAGAAAGGGTCAAACTCTGGGAACCGGTAATGGTTGTACCCCATGTGCAGCAGTACCGGGACCAGAGTGAATAGGGTGTGTATGGGGAGCATGAGTGGGTGTCCGGCGTTCATTTTTGTAAGTCTTTGGTTGTATGTGTATGTATGAGCATGAGGGAGTGAGTGTGTGACTGTGTCTGTGTATGACTGTATATGTCAGGTGGGGCCTTTGACTCCTCCCCTCTCCTGGGACTTCTTTTGATGCTTTACATCTTCGTCTCCCCTCCCCCTGCCACACCTGGTGTGGAGTGTGGTGCCTTGGTCTGCCTGAGTGTTCATGGCTTCCAGGTCCATGGGTTTAAGATTTTTGGCGTCTGCCTGATCAATCCCAGTGGCTGCCTGGTGGGATCTAGGTCCCTGGGCTCTGCTGGGTCCCTGGCGGGGTGGTTGCCCCTGGGTCCCGGGTCGCTGGGTTCCGGGCTTGACCGGCTGGGGGGTGGGAGGCTGCGAGCGGGCCTGTGGGCTTACCGCTGATATCTCCCGGGACTCTGCCGGGTGCTGGTTGTCGCACCCCGGGGCGATCCTCTGCGCTCTCGAGGGGTGCAGGGGCTTTTCTGTTCGTGGTCTCCTTGGGGTCCTTGTGCTCTGGGGCAGCTCCTGGATCTCTGGGACTTGGTGCTCCCTCCATCTCCTACGCTTCTTTGGGGAGCAGATCTGTGGCTCCTCACACTCTCTATTGGACGCTCCTATAGAGAAACCTTACATATACGGTACAAGCGTGTGTACACACACAGGTGCTCACATGGTGCTCTCATAAGTATGAACTTGGGCACGTTCAACACATGTCTTAAGGCTGTGGTGGGCACTAAATGCACTATGATTTATTATCGTGTGATTGTTCAGTAAAACAATGTTGATTTTACATTTCGTAAGCAGTGAAAGCTTACTCCTGTTGTATTGTGGTGTGTCTGTTTTCTGCAGGTCTAGAAGCAGACTCTTGTTCTTCATTGATTGTTTATTTTTGTGGACCCCCCCCCCCCCCCCCCCCCCCCCCCCCCCGGCACCTTTTGTCTCTTCCTTTCTCTTTCACCTCTGTCTACGTGTCCAGTCGAAATTACAAAGCATTCAAAATACAATAACAATAAAGTTTTAAGTATCAGGCAGATGCTTTGTTGCTCCACCTTGGAGGAAAATCTGCCAGGCTTGTCACCAGCATTCAGACATTAATTCTGTTGGCTTCACAGCCAGACAGGACACGGGGGGGTGTCAGAATTTCACCAGAAGCACAAAAAAGTTGTCCTTGCATCCTGTTAGCTCAAAATCTCATTTGAGTTAGCATGATGCAAAAAACATGCACGATAATATATTTTATATCAAAAACTTGAACTTAAGAGGAAAACCTGTAAAATGAAAATACAACTGAAATCCGTAAGAACGTTCTCAGTGCCAGGAGGGTACCATTCAGTACATGTGCTGTGATTTCCCTTACAGTGTTGTTGATTGGACTAAACCTGGAGGTAAAGTCTGACATCGCCTGTACGCTGTGCCCTTTCAATAAACTGCATCTCTCCTTTTCTATTGTGTAACACAATGCAAAAATATTTAAACTGAAACGAATCTCCTACCACCTGCAGTACTTAGACTCTCCACTAGAGGGCAGAATACATCAACAGTGTCCTGTACTGCAGGTTAAAAGTACCAATTGTTTCAACTAGATAGAGGTCCTACAAGCTTATTAGAAATGATGAATGAGGCATGTTAAGGGTGACGTTACAACAGGTACAAGTGTGGGGCTTCAACAGTAAAATGAAGCAGATGTAGGACATGAAAATCCCCTTACTTGATTGATTGATTGATTGATTGATTGATTGATTTAAGGTTCTTAATAACAAAAGCTTCAGCCTTTTACATTATGCAGCTCAGAGGAAGCCCTTTTCTTTGTTGTGATGTTATGTTTTACATACGTTCTGCAGCCACAATTGACTCAAAAGCAGTAAAACGAGTTCCTGTGGTCTTTAGACAGAAACTGTACAACACCTTTTTGTTTTCCATATGCAGGCAGCTTACTGTTTTTTTTTTTTTTTTTGCTGAACCTGCCCTTCAGCTATCCTGAGGATTTCTGTTACCCACACCAGCATAGACGCAGGTCAAAAGTTTCAAAGCTATCTTTGAAAAACGCACACACATTCCATTACCTGGACAACATGAAGCTTCCATTGTTTAGGATTGTTTTTAGCTGCACACACTCCTTCCACAAATAATCCAACTCTTCCTTCCTTCTATTTTTAAAAATAATTAATCTTTCAGTTAAGACTTGTCCGTGCAGGTTTCGTTGTTGCTTTTCGCTGTTGTTGGCGTGGCGTCCGACACCACTGACTTAATTTAGTTGTTGAATAGTTTCAGTTTTTACTGTGAATCACATGAAATGCCCCACGGCCTCAGAATACCACACTGTGTTAAGAACGCTGAGAGAAAAATCAAAGGTGCAGTATTAATTTTAAAAGTAGATAGATAGATGGATAGATGGATAGATGGATAGATGGATAGATGGATAGATGGATAGATGGATAGATGGATAGATGGATAGATAGATAGATAGATAGATAGATAGATAAGCAATTCAAATGTCCGACCCCTTTCTTCAGGCTCCCCCCAAGAGTTAAAGAATCTGACAATCACAGAAAATAGTACATCACCACATACACAAGCAGACATGCAGCTCTGCTGAGCTGTTGAGGTCAAGGTTTCCAGAACCAGCTCAAAACTGAATCATACCACCTCCTACCTAACTGTATGCTATGTGTGCTAGCATGCTAGCATATAGCGTGTGGTGTTTTTATGATGAAACACCAGACAGTTTTTAGCTTTCTTGGTTTATTCTTGATTTCCTCATCCTCGTCATCCTCATCTTCCTCCGCTTATCCGGGTCCGGGTCGCGGGGGCAGCATCCCATCTAGGGAGCTCCAGACTGTCCTCTCCCCAGCCTTCTCCACCAGCTCCTCCGGCAGGACCCCAAGGCGTTCCTGGACCAGATTGGAGATTTAACCTCTCCAGCGTGTCCTGGGTCGAGCCGGGGGCCTCCTGCCAGCAGGACATGCCCGAAACACCTCCCCGGGGAGGCGTCCAGGAGGCATCCTGACCAGATGCCCAAACCACCTCAACTGACTACTTTCGATCCGGAGGAGCAGCGGTTCTACTCTGAGTCCCTCCCGAATGTCCGAGCTCCTCACCCTATCTGTAAGGCTGAGCCCGGCCACCCTATGGAGGAATCTCATTTTGGTTGCTTGTATCCGTGATCTCGTTCTTTCGGTCATTACCCAAAGCTCATGACCATAGGTGAGGATTGGGACGTAGATCGACCGGTAAATCGAGAGCCTGGCTTTCTGGCTCAGCTCCCTCTTCCCCACGACAGATCGGCTCAGCGTCCAGATCACTGCAGACGCCGAACCAATCCGCCTGCCGATCTCCCGATCCCTCCTACCCTCACTCGTGAACTCTTCCTCATCCTAAACTTCTAAAAGCAGAGGTCGACTGAGGATCTGCGGACACCACCACCAAAACATTCAGAACACAAACTGAACTTTACCCTTTCTGCCTTCACTTGGTGACACACGTGCACACACACACACACACACACACACACACACACACACACACACACACACACACACACACACACACACACACACACACTCATTCTTGCACAAATGACAGAGTTGAGTCTTAGCCACGTTCCCAGACAATAACTTTGTCACCTGAACCTTTCTGTATGAGAACAGAACCAGACTTTAAACAGAACATTTAAAATAACTCCTTAAATTCAGATTCCATCAGTAGCTAGTCAACTCAGCTAGCTAGCTAGCGTCTGCCAAGAAAGCGTGTTTCATGCTCAGAGGGTATTTTGTGCAGCAGGGTGAGAGATGTTCACAGGAGCAGTTTGATAGTTGGGTAATGATCCAATACGGAGCTACGTCTCCTCCCTTTCCAGTCAGCTCATGGGTCCCTGGCAGAACAAAAAAATTAATTCAAGGCAACGGGGCTAAAAGAGCTATTTTCTAATCTGCTTTGCCTTACGCCCTGGTTCGCACACATGTTGTACTGCAATTTAAATGAAAAGTAATGATGGGTGTTTGGACCACGCCATAATGTACTTATTTATCATTTATCAGCTTGTAAAAGTTTGCAATTAGCATGATTACAAATCAGATATCGCCACGTCACATTTGTGATGTCACCACAGAATCTCCTCCCCTTGCGTAGCTGCTATTTACCAAATAGCCAGATTTATGGTGGTTCTTTCCTCCTGTGGGAACGATTAGAAGTTTGCTGAATTTACAGCCATTTTCCCTTTGTTTTTCTCCGTGTCTGGTTCGATGACGTCCCTTTCGTGATGCGCATTTTTACACAAAACCTAAAAGAGCGTTTCTCCCCGTTTGAAAATAAGCGCGTTCTTGGTATCAAAATGCATCTTCAAAATTCACGGATATCATTTGTGAAATCCATGGCACAAAACAAGCGGAATTAGAAAATAGCGTTTTAGCCCCATTGACTTGCATTCATTTTTTCGTTCTTCCGGGGACCCGTGGTCCGGAAGTAGATGGGCATAGGTTCCCTATCATTTTCAAGGGGGAACAGTACTCGATTGGATGATGTTTTTCTAGGATTGTATTTCTAATCAGACACTCCTTCCTTCAGTCTTTAGCAATAAGAGTCTCATACATACACATCAATACTCCCTAAGCTCACAAAATTAGTTTCTTGTAATTTATTTATTTATTATTATTATTATTATTATTATTATTATTATAAAAATTATTACGGATGGACAATATATCAGCATCAATATCGGTATCGGCCGATGTTAGTAATTTTTTAACATATCGATGTCGGTCCGATAAATAAAACAGGGCAGATATTAACAACCAATAATTTTTCCATCTTGGCTCCGTTTCATTTATCAGTTTCACAGGGTGAGGGGGTGATGTGTATTTGTTTAGTCAATTGACAGTGATTGAAATCATCTCAGAAGCGTAAATGTGTGTGGTGTGTGTACATAATAACATAAATTCAGCTTTAATAATTTTCATTCTATACAAAATCTGCTGATTTTTGAAGCATTAATGTCAGCATATCCATCCATTTTCATCTGCTTATCCGGAGACGGGTCGCGGGGGCAGTAGCTTAAGTCGAGAGGCCCAGACTTCCCTCTCCCCAGCCACTTGGGCCAGCTCCTCCGGGGGAATCCCAAGCCGTTCCCTGGCCAGGTGAGAGACATAGTCCCTCCACCGTGTCCTGGGTCTACCTTTAGGTCTCCTCCCAGTTGGACGTGCCCGGAAAACCTCACCAGGGAGGCGTCCAGGAGGCATCCTGACCAGATGCCCGAGCCACCTCAACTGGCTCCTCTCAATGTGGAGGAGCAGCGGGTCTACTCCAAGCCCCTCCCGGATGACTGAGCTTCTCACCCTATCTCTAAGGGAGAGCCCAGCCACTCTTCGGAGAAAACTCATTTCGGCCGCTTGTAGCCGCAATCTCGTTCTTTCTGTCACTACCCAAAGCTCATGACCATAGGTGAGGGTAGGAACGTAGATCGACCGGTAAATCAAGAGCTTCGCCTTAAGAGCTTCGCCTTCTGACTCAGCTCTGTCTTCACCACGACAGACCGGTACAAAGCCTGCATCACTGCAGATGCAGCACCAATCCGCCTATCGATCTCACGCTCCAGTTTTCCCTCACTCGTGAACAAGACCACGAGATACTTAAACTCCTCCACTTGGGGCAGGACCTCATCCCTGACTCGGAGAAGGCATTCTACCCTTTTTCGAATCAAGACCATGGTCTCAGATTTAGAGGAGCTGATTCTCCTCCGAGCTGCTTCACACTCAGCTGCGAACCTCTCCAGCAAAAGCTGAAGATCACGTTCTGATGAAGCCAACAGGACCACATCATCTGCAAAAAGCAGAGACCTGATCCTCAGGCCACCAAAACGGATGCCCTCCACACCTCGGCTGCACCTAGAAATCCTGTCCATAAAGCTTATGAACAGAGTCGGTAACAAAGGGCAGCCTTGGCGGAGTCCAACTCTCACTGGGAACGAGCCCGACTTACTGCCGGCAATGCGGACCAAGCTCTGACACCGGTCACACAGGGACCTAACAGCCCGTATCAGAGGGCCTGGTACCCCATACCCCCGGAGTACCCCCCACAGGGCCCCCCGAGGGACGCAGTCAAACGCCTTCTCCAAATCCACAAAACACAGGTAGACTGGTTGGGCAAATTCCCTCGCACCCTCCAGGACCCCCCTAAGGGTATAGAGCTGGTCCAGTGTTCCACGGCCAGGATGAAAACCACATTGCTCTTCCTGAATCTGAAGTTAATTACCTTTAAAAATGTCAAAATAATGGCTTGACAGAAAATAAGTGAGAACCACTGGGTTAACAATATTTCTAATATAGAAAAGGCATTTAGATGCAGCAGCTGAGTTACTGAAAGTGTCAAACATCTGCAGCAGGGATCACCAACCTTTGTGTACATTTTTCAAGACATTTGTAGTATTTACATTTATATTAATGCATTTGTGATTAAAAACGATGCCAGCAGATTTGATGAAAAGGCCAGTGGGCACTTTATATGGTCCCTGGAGCATCATGATGCCGGTGGGCACCAGGTAGTGACCCCTGATCTACAGCCAGCAGGTTGTTATTCATGAGTGTAGTTTTTATGTGTATTATCAGGTTAAAAATGGTAATATTCTAGAAAGAATAATATTAGTTTAATTGTTGACAGCAAATCATTGTGTTGAATCTACCTCTCAAGGATTTAAGAGCTGAACAAACAACAAACGTCACTCTGCTAGTGTCATAAGTAGGAAACATTTGTCAGTAAACGTTAGCAGTGGGGGAATGAATATTGTGTGTTTTACTTCCCTCTGGTCAGATACGTTGTGATAGATTAGCTTTGTTTGCTGTTACTGATTCGAATCAACCTGCTGATGACCTTAGGGCGAGATGGGTTTGCCCGGCCTGAGAGGTCTGGAGGGACCGCCGGGAAGAGGCACACCGGGAGAAAAGGTAAACATGAGTATCCTGCTGAGAAGCTGCTGTCCAAATATTATTTAAAATGTCAATAAAAGGATGTCCTGCTATTGTTAACATTATAACCTGTGATTCACACAAAAAACAAAAAGTTGACTTTGTTAGAAGGAGTCAAATGCTGACGTACCTTTACAGACCATGTGGACAGGTGGCGCTGATCTTTCAGAGCAGAGCTGTCTTCTGTTCACTCTGAGATGCTCTCAGGTGTGTGATGTCTCATTCGTCTGATCTTCTGCAGGGAGACAGAGGTGACCGAGGCTCAAGGGGGCTGTCAGGTTCTCCAGGCCCAGTTGGACCTGCTGGAGCAAAGGTATTTAATAGGTTCACACAAAAGTTCTAATGTGATCTCACCACAGAAACGGTTCTAAATGATAATCAACCTGCCTTTGCGTAGAGCCTTTCAGAGTCAGAGGACTTCAAAAACCTTTACACTGCCACATATCATTCATCCATTCACACATGCATTCACATGCTGACGGTGGTGAATTACATTGTGGCCACAGCTGCCATGGGGCTCACTGATGGAGGCAAGGCTGTTGAGCACAGGCGCTACCAGCCCCTCCACCCACCAGCAGCAGGCAGGGCAGGTTAAGTGCCTTGCCCAAGGACACAATGACTGTGACAGACTGGGACTCAATCCCAAAACCCTCTGAATACAAAATGAGCGCTTAAATCCTCTGCTACCGTCGCACCATGATCTATAGCAGGGGTACTCAATTCTGCTCTTGCAGGGCCAGTATCCAGCACGTTTTAGTTGATTCAGTGTTTGAATCGCCTGTGCAGCAGCTCATCAGGCTCTACATAAGCCTGTTAATCACCTGCTTACTGAAATCAGGTGTGTTGAAGCAGGGTTAAAGTTCAACCGTGGTGGACACCGGCCCTCCAGGCCCAGAACTGAATAGCCTTGGTCTATTGCAAGTCTCAGTTATTAGTTCATCTTTGGTGATGCAGATGAGTTAGTGGTTCTAAGTCCGAGTACCGCTGGTCTACAGCAGCTACTAGATATCTGCTCTGACTATAGAGTAGAACACAACATCGTTTATAATGCAGCTAAGTGTGGTTATGATTTACCGGAACAAGGAGGACAAGCAAACGAAGTTTCCAGATTTTTATGTCAGAAAGTCAAATATCTGGGTCATATCATGACAGAGGACGTGAGAGACGAGGACGACAGGTAAAGGCAGTTCTGTGTGTTACATGCTATGGACTAACTATAAGAAATGTAGTATGATCAGCTGCAGGTTGCCTATAATGATGCTCTGCCCAGATGGACGAGTGCAAATGAGACTTTTGTAAACGTGAGAGTGAGCACGCAAATCAGTAACTAATCCATCTATTTTCTATTGGCGGCTAATGCAGGAAATAGGGGTAGAAGACTATTTTCACTTTCAGCCTACACTTTAAACTCAGAGTGGCCGATCATATTTCAAAAATAACAAGTAATAAACAATTTCTCAGCGAACTTGGATTTGAAACAAGAGTCAGAACATGTGCTTTTAGTGTGGTAGAATGGTTCTACAGCATAAAATTGATTTGTTTGTCATTGTGTTGACTCAGGGAGAGCCTGGCAGCTTGGGAATGATGGGCCTACCTGGACCTGCTGGGCGGGGGTATCCGGGACCAAAGGTAAAGACATCTAGTGAATCAGTAACACATACATGTAAATGCAGACACACTAACAGATATCTAGAGGGAGGAGATTAAAGTGTAATATTTGCCTTTAGTCTATAAACACAAATACTGGAGAGATTGGTGGAGTCAGACGCTTTTTTATTAAATCAGTATAAACAATGTAGACATGTAGGACAGCCATGTCCTATCTTTCCATGACAAACACCAAAATTATCAAGCTAAAGGTCCTTGTGGGTCAAAAAGAAAAAAAAAATGATGTAAACATTTTCATATTAATATAATAATAATAATAATAATAATAATAATAATAATACATTATATAATACGCTGCCCAGCCAAATAATAAGGTCACACACTCTAATATTTTGTTGCAATCACCTTTAGCATTGATTACAACACAGTCACCGTGGCGTTGTTTCAAAAAGCTTCTGCAGTGTCACCAGAGTTATTTCCATCCAGTGTTGCATTAATGTCTCACCAAGATCTCGTATTGATGATGGTAGAGTCTGACCGCTGCACAAAGTCTTCTCCAGCGTATCCCAAAGATTCTCAATGGGGTTAAGGTCTGGACTCTGTTGTGGCCAATGCATGTGTGAAAACGATGTCTCCTGCTCCCTGAACCACTCTTTCACTATCTGAGCTCGATGAATCCTGACATTGTGATCTTGGAATATGCCCGTGCCATCAGGGAAAATGGAGCAATTTGGTCATTCAGGATATTCAGGTAGTCAGCTGACATCATTCTTGGAGCACATCCTGTTGCTGAACCTAGACCTGACCACCTGCAGCAACCCCAGATGGGCTGAGTTCAATCAAACAAGTTTAATTGTTTAACTTAGAAACAAGTCAGAAATAATTAAATGTATAGGTTTGGGTTGATGGCTTGTTTCCAAGGCCCAATAGCCTTACTGGATATTAAGTGTATGATACTGTTTTGCTCAGTGTGATTAGCACTGGCTGTTTCTCACCAACAGGGAGAGACTGGGCTTGTGGGACCACCTGGACCAGTTGGAGAGCCTGGAGTGGAAATCATTGGGCCTAAGGTAATAAAATCAAAACAAACACATAAATTATTTGTGTAAAAAAGAAAGCTTGGAACCAGGAATGGAGCCTCAGGTCTGAAGGTTATGACCCAGGAGATTTTCTGGAACTACACCATTCTCATTTAAGGTTTACAAGGATGGGTGTGTGCTTGGGGGGCTATTTTCTGACACGTGAGGAGATGTTTCTCACCTGTGTCATCAAGCAGCTGACCTCTCTGGGGTTTCTAACAACAGTGGTATTTCATAGGAACCCGGCAGACTAATCTGGACTTTATCAGATCCTACTGGCTGCAATAAAATAGTGCTGCTGGGCATGAAAGAGCAATTTACAGCCAGGGGTGGGTGTTCCTGACGTAACTGGAGCGATTGACTGCACCCTAAATGCTCTAAACGCTCCGTCATTTTATGGATATGTTTAGTTTATGGAGATTCTAATCAATAAAGTTCTAAATTTAAGTGATGAATAAATGCAACCGACCAGCATTGTGTTGTGGTGTTCTAGTGCAATGTCCAATTCATTCACTCTAATGAACAGCAGGATGGGAAATGACAAGCAAAGTAATTAATTTGTCTTAATATTAACTCTCCCAATGCACCTCTAAACATTAGTCTGTCATGACATCATCATCGATTCAAGTGAGACACTTACCGTTTCTTGCAGGTTAAACTAGAATACATGGACGTAATTTGGGGGGGGGGGGGGGGGGATATGTCCCCCCCACTTTTTCCAAAGTCAAGTTTGGACCCCTGCACTTTTTACCATCCAAAAACAATATTACGCTATATTAAATTGACATTGGTTGAGCTCAAGGACCAAGCACAAAACAACTGTTTGTGTTGAAGCCTCTTTCCCATTAGAACATACTGTAAAGATCCCCCTCCCCGTGTCGCCCCCCCACTTCTAAAGTGAAAATTACGTCCATGCTAGAATGAGTGGATCTCTTCAGAAGGACTTCCTGTCTGTATACTCTATAGAAACCTGCAGATAACAGATTAAACATATAAACTTATAGGATAACTAACTACCAGTTTTCACTTGCTATGTAGCTGTCTTTTATCTCTGCCTCTTTTTTTACTTTTGCACGTGCACACTGTCCAACAACACCTTTACGTGCCTCTACCTCATTTACCCATCTTCTGTTTCTATTCTGCAACGTTCGTCTTTATCCTTGATTATCACGTTGGTTCTAACAGAAAAGAAAACCATACTTTCAGAGCAAGTTTGCATCTTTTTGCATATAAAACTGGAGGTGTGTTAAAGGGGAGGAGTCCATTCCGTGTCGACCAGGATGGACAAGGCAACATGCTTCAATCTACAAATTAGCAGATTCGTTATTCTGAGTTGGTTTTTCTGCAAGCAACTTTCTTCATTTGAATGCATTTTATCATTTAGTAGGAAATCCAAGCAAGTTTGCATGAATGCGCTGATGAATGTTGTTATCCAGATCCTTATGGAACATACAACATGAGTTGGTAAAGTAATTATTGCGTACAAGATCCATCCTTAATAGGATTGTTAATAAAAGACTTTTAGACTTCAGTTTATCCTTGATCTAAACAGACCTGTTTAATTTTGTCAGTATTCTGATTCTCCTATTTCTGTCTTCAGGGAAATAAAGGAAGTTCTGGTCCAACCGGGCCACCAGGAACTAAAGGAGACAGCTTTCCAGGACCCCCGGTGAGGAGTAAAGAGAAAAAATACATTTCAGTGCAGCAAAAAGGGTGCTTTGGTTGTTGTTTTGATGATTTTGTTGTGTTTTTAGGATAAACCAACAGTGTTGCTGTTCACATTTTTGTTTTAATGACAAATATTTGCCTACTTACACCAGGGGCCACCTGGTCTACCTGGAGTGCAAGGAGAACCTGGACGTGAAGGGAAAGGACTACCTGGGACCAACGTGAGTTTTGTTTGAGGGTTGAAGACTTTGGTAAAGTTGGAGGATTGTATCTTTCAAAAATCTCAACTAGAAATGTTTGTAAATTCTTAAAGAAGAGTGGAAAATAATTAGTTTTAATTGCTTTGTGTGTTAGGGTGACAGAGGTTTACCTGGAGTCCCAGGACTTTCAGGTCCTCCTGGAATTGGACTCTATGGACCAAAGGTCAGTGTGTGCGAAGCTGTGGCTTACAACCCTGGTCCTAGAGGGCCACCATCGAAGCAAATGGATTTGTTCTCCTGATAAAACACACCCAACTCAGTGGATAAAACTACTTCAGTTCAGTTTCTCAGTCCCCAATAGAGTCAGATTAGGGCCGTTTCTCAATATGTGTTCTTGTCTGAACTTGTGTCCTTGCATACTTGTGAAACGTCATCGACGTGGTCTACGGTTCCAATCCTAAGTACGCACTGTGGCAAATATGCTCAAAGGTCATAGATGTGTTCTCACTCCGCCCATTGCCATCTGTCTGAAGACCGGGGCCAGCAAGGTGTGTTATGATGAAGTCTGCACAAATCGAATGGGAAAAGGCAGAGAAGAAAGCTCACAACAATCAGCAAAATGCTATGTAGCTAACCCACTATCAGAATAAAACCAGCGTTGCCTTTCTCTTCAGGTCATCTGTTTTTACCGTAGCATAAAGCAGCGCTTGTTGCCATGACAATAGGGGGTATGGCTCTGGTCCAAAAGCCATATTTCCTGTACTTGGTAGAATGGTCTTTCTGTTGTACTTTCCAAGAAAGTACTTGTCAAATATGCTAGAACGTACTTGGGCATTGAGAAATGGCCCAGGTGTGATGGAACATCTAAAACCTTCCGGATAGTGGCCCTTAAGAACCAGGACTGGACAAGCATGGTGTAAAAGATGAATAATATTTGTTGTCTCTAATAAAAAAAATTCCATCTTGACTCATAGCATCAGCCTGCTGTCTTCCATCTGTTGTGTTTTTAGGGTTCTACTGGTCAACCTGGCCCATCTGGCCTGCCAGGGACTCCAGGAGATGGTATTCCAGGACCAAAGGTTGGCAAGAATTCCAAAACAGTCAATAAATTAAAATCATACACGTTTCTATTCTAACACAAGTTGGGAATGAGTCTGGTACTTCAGGTCTTCATTCAGCTGGTGGAGCTTTCCGAGAACTCTTCCATCATCTTGAGGCTTTTATACAATCATTAATAACTCTGCTGATTGACTCCAATGATAGAAAATCTTCTACGGGAAATGGACTGTGTATGTATAGCGCCTTCTAGGGTTCTACAACCCCCCAATGCACAGCACAATCAGTCATTCACCCATTCACACACACACACACTGCATTACAATGTAGCCACAGCTGCCCTGAGGCGCACTGACAGAAGCGAGACTGCCAAACACATAAACCACCGGTCCCTCCGATCACCACCAGCAGGCAAGGCGGGTCAAGTGTCTTGCCCAAGGACACAACAACTGCGACAGACTGAGCCGGACTCAATCCCACAACCCTCTAGTTACAAGACAGGCACTTAAGTCCTCTTCCACCGCCGTCCCATGGTCCATAGCAAATCTCAGTAATCAGTTAATCGTTTGTTCCCAGGGAGAGCCTGGATATCAGGGTCCAGTGGGCCCCAGAGGTGCACCAGGGGATGGTCTTCCAGGGCAGAAGGTACAACAACTCAAATAACTGCTTGTGAGATTGGTCTAATATACTGTATGTGTGACACAGAGTTTCTAGTGCTTCAACATGCTTTCACAAGCTGTTTCACACCTATACAGGGAGACCGAGGAAATCCTGGAGACAGAGGAAAGAAAGGAGACATGGGGGACTATGGAGCGCCTGGCTTACCTGGACCAATGGTAACATACTAGGGCTGAAACGATTCCTCGAGTACCTCGAATAATTCGAGTACAAAAAAGCCTCAAATCAAATTATCTGCCTCAAGGCTTCGTTTAATTCATATTTAATTAATTCATGGCTTTGCAATCGCCCAGGGTCATGTTTCACCCGGACCGAAATAAGTGACACACATACACACTGCACTGAATGCACACGCGAGTTGCGAATGTAACTTAACTTTCTCTTAAGCCATGGAGGACAACGTGGACCCCGGTGGAGTGCGAAAAAGACAGAAAATGTCAAAGGTGTGGCACCAGTTTTCACGTCGTAAGTGTAAATACTGTAAAATGGATCTAGCCTACCACAACACCACATCCTCCATGCTGCAGCACCTGACCAGGAAACATCCACATGTACATGTCACTTCTGCAAGCGGACTCGGAGGTCCGCTATATATTCTGCGGACACTGTGCGACTTTTTCTTTTGTGGCACTCAGTTTCAGCTCACACTGTGTCTGGTAGCAACACGTCAGACATGAAAATGTGCTAAAAATAGCAGTTTTTACAACACGTCGAACTTTTTATTGTGTTGTTATTGATGTGTGTTGTCCCTCGGGATCGCTGCAGGAGGACGCAGGTATTTATGAGGAAAACGAAAGAAAGTAAATAAATGTTGTGTGATAGTATAATTTGACATAACCACGGTAAACATGCTTTCTCGACAATCCTCGTTATTGTGTGTGAAAAAAAAGCGTAGAAATTAAAACGGACGTGTGTTAATAAGGAAATAGCTGGCGAGCCATGTTTGCGCATGCGCCGTGAGCGGTTCTGGTTCTGTTTGGGCCGCAGCCGCTTGCAGCACTACTTCAACAGTTATCTTCCTTGTTTTTGTCTGGCTTGCCAGGCTAGTAGATTCTCGCACGAGGGGAAAATCGGCTCAGGTTGCATACTTATATTTTGCGCAGGCGTTTGTTTACTGTGAAGTAAAGTTGAAGTGCTGAAGTTTTGAAAACTAATTTTGAATAAAACTTGTAGAATAACTGGCAATTTCTTGCTCATTTTAAGAGGTCTTTCATATTTTATAACATGCTATTTGATATAATGGTTTACAAACACAAAAGGGTAATTTATTAGAGTACTCGATTAACCGATAAAAGATTCGATAGAGTACTCGATTACAAAAATATCCAATAGCTGCAGCCCTATAACATACCATATAATATTGCTAGGGCTAATACACATTTAATTGTCTCTTCCAGTAAACGTTTGCTCCTCTTCCTGCTGGATTCTGACTTTATGTAAGAGTCACAGAACAGGGAGACAATCTTTCACAAATCACCAAGTGATGTGTTTTATAAACAGCCTTTTTAACAACAGCTGGTGCTTGTGAACACTATTGATCTCTGATCAGGTCTCATTCAACGCCCAATGAGGAGGAACTCCACGTGACCACCAGCTGGTGATGCTAAAAAAACTACAATATGATGCAAAAGGTTATTTATATCAGTAATCCTAATTAAAAGGTGAAACTAATGTATGAGATGGACTCATTACACAAAGCAGGATATCCCAAGCCTTTAATTGTTATAATTGTGCTGATTACAGCTTATGAAAACCCCACATTCAAAGTTTTAATATTCTAGGCTCAAAGTGCCAAAGTGTGCTGGATTGTCGGGCCTGGAGGTGCTGGCAGTTCTACACCCAACACACAAGCTTACAATAATGAGATAGCACTGCACGAGTATCACTGCTTTAGATGGTCTCTCAGTCTAATTAGGATTACTGAAATCTATAAACTTAGAATTTTTACTATTTTAATTTTTTTGAGTTTCACTTGTACTTGGCGCAACCAGTGACTCCATCCCTTAGCCAATCAGTGGCCAACAGTTGCTGACACCGTGTTTTTGGCCTGGTTCAAAATGCTAGGAAGCAAAACGGAGCAGCTCCTGAAAAACTGGAGGAAAATACCAAACCGTGCTGTTGGAGAATGCCACCCATCGGAGTCGCGATGAGTGGTGCCATTGGAAAAACCCTATAAGTGACTGGTGATTAAAACACCAACATCAGGAAGCTGAGTCTAAGGTCATGAGAGTGAAACTAATGCCCTTTTTGCAAAACACAACATGCTGGCTAATCGGCATAATATTACCGCAATGGTATGTCTATAAACACGCCATGCCGGCATGGCATTGCGCGAATTTTGCGGTAATGGTCTGTCGTATGCGCCATGACTGAGATGGTGAACTGGAGCACCGCAGCGCTCCATGAGTCTCTCTGTTAGAGCTGAAGCTCAGATCACCAGAGGCTGCACAGGGACTGATGGGGACAGACACCTTTAGGAGCTGCTTTTTAATAAAAAACAACGATCACGGCTTCAATCGCAATAAAAAGCAAGTTATGTCCAAGATAAACGGAAGTCTGCGGCAGCACAGAGACCGCCCCCATACCCCTTTTATGCCGCCATCACCTAATCTTTTATAAAATTGCCACGATTGCGCCACATTACCGCCACAGTCTGATCTTATAAACGACCTTTATCCTCCCCAGGGAGCCGCGTGTTATGAGACGAATGTCTTTTTATGTCTCTTCTTTAATGACAGTAAGTTTAATAGTAAAATTTTTAAATATACTGAATCCAATCTCACAGGGAAGACCTGGAGAAAAGGGAGAACCAGGACTGACGGTGAGTAACTGATAGAAAACAACGTTATTTATGCTTAAGATGTTGTTTTCTTACCTTCTTTCTCTCCACAGAAAGAAGAGGTCATTCAAATAATAAAGGAAAACTGTGGTAAATTACAAGTTTTGATCTTACATCATTTTGTCATGTTGCGGGTGAGTGGAGATGATGGCCCATGTGTGGTGGAGAGTTCAGGAGGCAGGAGACCAGGCACGGATGAAAAATAAAAATGGTTTTAATGGTGGAACAGGAGTGACAGGACAAAACAAGCACATGCACATACAATGATCCTACGAAGACTGGTACAAGGAGGGAGGTATAAATACACAGGGAAATCAGGAACACATGGGCAGGTTAACGAGGGGCAGGTGAGAACAATTAGGACTAATCAGGGCAGGAGAGAGACAGTCAGGAAGGCAGGGGCAGATCGTGACACATTTCATCTCGGATCATATCTGAGCTGAAGTGGATTTACATTTATATTCTACTGCTTTATTACAGTTTTGGTAAATGGATAAGGTTGGAGTCAGAGCATCAAATGATCTAAAGTTTTGTCATTTTTCAGACAGGTTTATTTCATGGTAAATATCTAGTTTGGAGGCCGACCGATATATCGAGCTGATATATTCGATTTTTTTCTGCATCGGCCAAAATTATTTTTAAATGACAGATTAAAGAAAAAAATTCAGGCACCTGTGTGGCCAAACTGCCACTACTAGACGGAAGAAAGGACCCCAACACACCATATTTTTTAATGTTTTGAGTTTGTTTTATATTTGAAATTCAATAAATATTAATGTCTTTTTTGACTTATTTAATTTATATTGCACACCGTGAGTGTTCAGTTGTCTTCACAATCAACATGCTGCTAAGACAGACAGACAGACAGACAGACAGACAGACAGACAGACAGACAGATAGATAGATAGATAGATAGATAGATAGATAGATAGATAGATAGATAGATAGATAGATAGATAGATATCGGCCTTAATCATCGGTTTTAGTTATCGGCCATCTGCAACACAATTCTTTAAATATTGGGATCGGCCTTAAAAAAATACCATATCGGTCGGCCTCTAATCTAGTTTCATGTGTGTGTGTGTGTGTGTGTGTGTGTGTGTGTGTGTGTGTGTGTGTGTGTGTGTGTGTGTGCATGCGAGTGTGTTGTGAACTAGCATTGTGATGTTGCACTACTTAGTTGAAGCCATCCTTACTCTGGCACAAAAGTGACTACAGATTTGACCCACGATCATCTGTTTTTGGTGTTGTTTGCTGTGATTGCTCTGTGACAGTTCCTGCTGACTGTAGCTAATTTGTCTAAGGGGTCAATCAAGTAGAAACTGGACTCTCTTAGAAAGCAATACATTGTTCTAGTTTATCTTCATCTCATTTTCTTTAAATAACTTGGAATGAACCTTCTGTGTGGTTTTGGTACAGGCTTGGAGAACGATGCGCTGAAGCAGACCTGCGATCAAGAGGACTCTCTTTCCTTTTTACCCAACTCCGTAATTCCATCCGTGGAAACTCATCCTGGTTCTCCAGAAGACCAGCCGTCTAGACAAGTCCCAAATGTGGAAAGCAAACAGGTAATGTTGCTCACGTGAGCCGTTTTTACAAAGCAATGCCATAAATTTGTCACAACGCTATGGCAGCATCAGGGAGCCTTAGGTAGGTCAGAGTGGTGTAATCCAGTCCTTTTGACCCGTCCTTTCCACTGCACGAGAAAGCGCCACAAAACAGACGTGAAACGTACTACGCAGCAGTTAGCCGCCGTTACAGTGGATGAGCACCAGCAGCGAAGTGTGACCTGTTGGACGCACCCCAGAAGCAAGGGTCTGCTATCATTACGTTTCCAGTTTATTTTTTATGTGCTACGATTCCAAAACACATCAAACTCCACAGTTTAGATCGTGCCAGACAGGAAGTCAACCTAAAAGTTGTGTAAAACACATCCTGAAACTTTCAAAATAAAACTGACATGCAGGTAAACGTATGTAATTTACTGTTATAACCCTTGTAGCCGATGTAAACAGATCAGAAAATAAACCACAGACATTTTTGATGCATGCTGCTGTAATTCTGCTTGCTTATTGTTGTGTGTGGGCTTCTGAAATCACGCGGGGTGTTGCAGTTCTCCCGTGTAGCTGTGTGGAACCCTTGCACTCTCGTTTCACGTCAGAATAGCTCCCGGTTGGGAATGAGCTTGTGGGTAAAACGCATTACGCTACTACATTACGCAACCGCTTCCACGGCCGGTGGAAAGCTGGGGTAAAGGGGGTATGGGGGCAGTCTCTGCACTGATGCTTCCGTTTCTTCTCGGAGATAACTTGCTTTTTATTGTGATCAAAGACACTCATTAGGTTTTTTTAACAAGTCGCTCCTGAAGGTGTCTGTCCTCCACATTCCCTGGTGATCTGAGCTCCAGCTCAGAGAGAATTTCCTGGAGCTCTGCATCACTTCAGTTTAAAAAACCCTCAGCATTCCAGCGTCCCGCCCATGGGACAAAACCCCATTGTGTTCAATAAACCTGGAAATTTAAGGGGTTAACATCACTGCTGATTCTGTTTACACAGGGTAACTTACTGCCTGTGTTCACTTTCATTTTCGATATATTTGCTGGCAAGAGCTCGGCAGTAACTCCCCACGTGATCATGACACCTCCGTCTGTGTAAAAGACAGACAATTACCACAAGATTACTACCAAGCAAGGCGGAATGAATGCTGCAAAATGTGTGTTGTCATGTCGGCATGGCGTGTTTATGAGCAGTGGTGGGAATAACACCATTTAAAATAATGGCAAAAGTTTTTTCAGTAACGAGTGATCTAATGACCGTCTTCTTTTATCATAACGCCGTTTCTGTTGTAAGTAAATGCGTGCGTTACTAATTCAGCAGCGTGGTGTGTTGAAGCCATCATCAGCTGACTGGGAGCTAAAGAGGCGAATGTTTTCATCCAAGTGCATCACGGCCCGTGAAGAACGAGGAAGACATGATGAATAGTCTACGGCTGCAGATCCGCAGATTCGCTGCTGCAGGTGCGGGTCTGCAGCCGTGCCCTTCTTGGCGTGACAGCGGGACGTCCCGAAGGTCCGCTCACCTGTTCACCGCTCAGACGTCCTGATCTTCTACCTTCCTCGATCATCCAGCTGTAACCTGTTTCTGATCGTGTCTTCAGTCCCGCTGTAACACTGATGCATCAGTCTCAGACGTCATGGAGCTCAGGTGTTATTAGAACTACCTGTGTGTGTTTACCACCCAGCTTCAGCTCTTCTGTGGTTGGGTCTGACCCAAGTTAGTAAATGTAAGTCCTCCATCAGGCTTGTGCCTCTTCTAGTGTCATTTTAAATGATTTTTATTTATTTATTTAATCATTAATAGATTACCAGCAACAGAAATGATTCTAAAACACACAATTATGAGAAGTGGAAAAATTAGATCACTGTGCATAACGACATTTATTTCAGTGATAAAAGGCTCAGGAACCTTTACAGGTGTTTCTATTTGCAATTATGAATTTTAGCTGATTGGGGTCTTGTTATTTCATACAGTGACATTTTAATTGTCTAGATTAGTGTAATGCTCCTGTTTGTAGTTCGTCCTGTTAAATGCCCATTTATTTCAACTAATCAGTTTAATAAAAAAAACACTTGGACATACATTTTATTGTGTTCCAGTCATTAGTCATTTATATTTCACTATTGCAGTATTTTATAGTAAATTAAGTGAGTTTAATTAAGAGTGGAACCCATTTTTCTTGCATTCTTTAATGAAAAAAAGGGTTATTTTTCTTGGTAATTAGTTACTTTTATAATCTTGTAACTCAATAAGTAACTGAGTTACTTTTTTGACAAAGTGATCAGTAACTATAACTAGTTACTTTTTAAAAGTAACATTCCCAACGCTGTTTTCAAGACACATCGTTGCGGTAATATTACCCTGATTTGCCGGCATGGTGTGTCTTGTAAAAAGGGTAATGTAGTTTAGATATATCCCAAAAAAAAACTTAAATAACCCCAGAGAGAAATGAAAGTTCACACTCTTTCATTGTTTAGTGAATCCTGTTGGGTCAGAATCAGCCCAGGGTTGGTCAAGTTTCACCTGAAGACTTCTGGAATTATGAGACCAAGGTTGCGATGTTTATAGACATTAGTTTGGTATGGGCAGGTTGGGTTTGGCCACTCATCAGCTCTTTGTTTATCTATGATAACTCGTGACAAAATAACATGGAGTAAAAAATAACAGGATGGTTTTATTTCCATGTGCAGTTGGGTCATTTTGGGATAAAGAGTCAAAAGCTGACACAGTGTTCACCCCGTTCTGATTTTTAAAGCTGTTGGTTGAACTTCGATAACTACCATAATTTCCGGACTATGGAGCCCACCTCAATATAAGCTGCACCTACTAAGTTTTAAAAAAAAACATGGAACTGTACTTATATAAGCCGCACCGGGCTAAAAGCTGCAGATATCTACCGGATATCTACTGAATTGAAAACATAGTTTAATTGAACATAACTGAACTGATCAGTATCAAACAAAACAGAAAAGTTATTGATTAGTTTATTCATCGTCCTCCTGCACACTGAAACATTAAAGTCCTCTTCTTCAGTGTCGGAGTTGAACAGCCTCAGAAGAGCTTCGTCGCATACCTTTTCTGTGGCGATGTCAGTGTCGCTGTCCGTGTTGCTGTCATCATTCCGGGGTGAAGCTGGCTTGAATGAGTTCTTCCCGCTGCCGTCTCCGTCGCCGAACCATGGATTCATTCATGCCAAGCTTACGTGCGGCAGCACCGTTTCCCTCCTTTATCGCCAGATCGATGGCCTTCAACTTAAATGCGGCATCATATGAACTCATACGTGTAGTTACCATGATGAGGGGGTATGGACTTGAAAAAAAGTCTTCGTCGTGCCGGCTGCTTGCATGTTCTAAATTAAAATGAGCACTTTCTTCCATTTCCACTTTTGACTTCCACCTGTTTCACTTTCTGCTAAAGCGCCTCCTAGTGGCAGTTGAAGGAAAATCTTCAGTAAAGCCGCACCTCTTTATAAGCTGCATGGTTCAAAGCGTGGGAAAAAAGTAGCGGCTTATAGTCCGGAAAATACGGTAATAACATCCATAGCTGCAGGGTAGGATGAAGAATGCCCCTAAAGTTTGATTGTGTACTTTCCAGGTGAAAACCACACCAGTCCAACTTCCGCAGCCGCCTGTGACTCCTCCTCCCTTCACCTCATCTCCACCGCTGTCCTCGTTCTCAGGTGAAATGTCAGAAACTAGTATTCCTCTCCTCCACCTCATATTTGCCTTCTTCAACCAAAAGGTTTACACATGGTCTTCTATGTTCAGACGAGGGATGCAGCCAGCCTCTGGACCCCGGCCCGTGTCGAGAGTACGTCATCAGGTGGTACTATGACCCACAGGCCAACGCCTGTGCCCAGTTTTGGTACGGAGGCTGCCACGGCAACACAAACAACTTTGAGACTGAATTCAGCTGCTGGAGCAGTTGCGTCTATACGTAGCACACCATTGCATGTTGCGCCAGCGTTTGCTGTCTTTTTGCTTTAGAGCCATTAAATTCAACTCTGGCTCAAGGAGGCTCGTGGTGCTGGATTCAATAAAACAGGAAGTGACTTTATGGAGATTCAGTCCAAATTCGATCCAAGTCACTCCGCTTTAGTGGGATTTCATTGTTCCACCTACAGATCTTGTTTCACATTAACTTAATTAAAAATATCAGACTTCGGGGGGGGGGATTACTGACAGCTTTCAATATGGGAAAAAGGAGAAAACCAAATCTGTGAAAAATGTGTTAATCTTAACAGGGCTTCAATTCAAAGTGACGTCACAATTAGAGACTTTTTGCATGAGGTTCATAAATAATGAAAGGCAGAAAGCCAGTGGACAGTTTTATTTACCTTTGGAGTGTCCATAGAGGCAGTAGAGACCCACTTAACAGCAAAAAAGAATGCAAAATACACGTTTTGCTTAATATTTAGGTTCAGCAACAAAACTTGGCTAAGTTTCTGTTGTCTGTATATTTATCTGTCTGTCTCCAGTACTTGAAGACAATCATCCTGCTCCAGCACACCTGACTCAAATGGTTTCATCACCATGTTGACTTCTGAAGAAGCCTTTTAATTACTCCTTCGTTTAATTCATGTGTGTTGGAGCAGGAACTAGCTGGATTTGCTGGATGGTGGCCCCAGAGGACTAGAGAGAGTGGCCCCTGCATAATAATAATAATAATCAGCAAACCCCCTACATAAATCTGCATCAGTTAAAAACAAATCTGCACCAAGCGTCCACTAGCTATGCTCAAACAGCTGACTGCACTCACTGCCCCAAAGGTTTAGGATTTATTTAGCAATTCATTTTAGATTAATGATATTTCAGGATGTCTTCTTGTGTAAATCTTTATTTAGGACCCTGTAGATGAGTAGAAGACAAAACTGTTAGTGATGTACTTGTTTTCCTGCATCTGTCAGCATCCATTGTTATGAATGTTGTATAAAGAAGGCGAACAATTTTGGTGTAAAATAAATTTTTATTGTTTAACACTGTACGTACCTGAAGGAATAACATAGAAATGAACAGAACAACAACTTTTAAATAAATAAACCATTTTGTTAAACCTACTTTTTGCTCTTTTTAATAAACACAATACCTGAGTCTATCACAGATGTCAACAGATTAACCAGATGACAGATTAAACCAGATTGCAGAAGGAAAGTAGAGCTGCTCGGTTAAGAAAGATGCTGGAATCAGGATGAATACAGGAATGTTTAAATCCAACATGTACATGGGGGTAATTTAGCCATTTTAAAGGTTATTTACACCTGGAATTCCATTTGACCCACAAAAATAAAACAACCTAGACTCAGAGCCCCAACCTTTACTGGTAGAACTATACAAAAAAAACGTAAACCTGATATTATTCTATTGGGATCTATCTGACTTGCCAGTGATACAGTGGAAATATTTGATCAAATATTAAATTTTCAGTTGATTTGGATTTTAGAAATCACCAGAAGACCTACAGCTTTAGGAGCCACTGGTTTCCTTCATTGGTTCAACGGAGAACCATCAGTTTTCCTTCATGGAAATGTTTTCTCTGGAAAACACAATAAAGTGCAAAACACAAAATGTTTTTATCACACACAATACAAATGTAGTTATTATGCATGTTCCAATTATTATCATCTCACTAAACAAGCTTTCTAAATGAAATGCCCTGCAGACCAACGTGGTGCTTCCACCTGGATTAGCGGTCCAAAATTTCTCACCAAATCCCAGATTTACCGACCATCTCTCCAGAAAGAAACGTCTGTCCATTTGGTAGCTGGCTCAGAAGTAAAAGAGGACCCATTACTTTGTTCTTTTTTTTTACATCGCTTACTTAAAAACGTTTTTTACCTTACATGTTGTCATATCTTTGGTCACAAAAGCATAGTGGTTAACAGGATCAGACGAGACAAAACCAGACAAGGACAAACCTCACAGCAGACTTAGCACCATTGATAGAACTGGTAGCGAACTCCACTCACTTCATTTATAACTGAACCAAATGCAACCAACTAGAAAGGTTTGTCTTGGGAAACCCACTATCAGCCGCCCTTTGTGAGTTCTTCATGGAAGACCTGGAACAAAAGGCCATAGCCACTGCCCCCAGACTCCAAAATAAAACTATGGAAATGCTACGTAGACGACATATTAGAGAGTGCGAGGGGGAAGCAAGTCGAAGACACACAAGAGCAGCCAAACAAGAAGCAGAAAGTACAATAAAGAAATCAGCTGTAACAGACCACTGCACAAGGGAAAATCATATAATGTAGGTATGCACCGATACTTCTCCGTCTGCGTCGGTGCGGAGACGCGCAACGCCAGTATGCGTCGACACAAGGGCTCTCCGACAAGCTCACAGAGGGTGACAGAGACCGCATGCTTGTGGTCGGTCAGGACACCGCTTCCTGTATATTCGTCACCAGCACCGCTGTAGCTCCTTTAAAACGTAAACAGCTATTTAACGGCAGACCCTGAACAGATTGAAGAACGTATCGCGAAAAAAGGCCGAAAATTTGAGCTAACTTGGGCAGAAAGGATGGAAAATGTGGGTTTAGAGGTAGTGACCCCATGGGGAGGTGGAGGAGAATGAAGGCCACACTTGTCCATGTTATAAAGTCTCTGAAATATATAAACACATTAGTAAATACACTATCGGAGACCACATAAATGGTAAATGGTAAATGGTAAATGGCCTGTATTTGATATAGCGCCTTCTAGAGTCCTAGAACCCCCCAAGACGTTTTACAACACAATCAGTCATTCACCCATTCACACACACATTCACACACTGGTGGGGATGAGCTACAATGTAGCCACAGCTGCCCTGGGGCGCACTGACAGAGGCGAGGCTGCCGAGCACTGGCGCCACCGGTCCCTCCGACCACCACCAGCAGGCAACGTGGGTTAAGTGTCTTGCCCAAGGACACAACGACAGCGACAGACTGAGCGGGACTCGAACCAGCAACCTTCCGATTACGGGGCGAGCACTTAACGCCTGTGCCACCGTCGCCCCGTGTTACCACAGAACAATGCTACGCCCTCTCTTGTCCTAGTGGGGAATTGCTTTGCAACACTCCACTGCCTGAACAGAAGTTTTAATGTGAAAACCTTCCCGACGCTCCGTGTGCGTCTCTACGTTGCGGAGCTCATGGAGAAGTATAAATTAAGCCTAACTTATCATTTCTGTTCACATAATATCTTAGTTTTGTGATCATTTCTATTAATATATTTTATTTTTATCCACCTCACAGACTTTTACTGTTGAAAGCTGAGAAGAAAATAAAACCTGTATTCCAATTCATTGCATTTTTTTGTGTGGTAGAAGTATCGGTATCGGCGAGTACTCAGATCCAAGTATTGGTATTGTATCGGTTTGAAAATAAGTGGTATCAATGCATCTCTTAATGTAATGGACTGGGACAGTACATGGCTCATAAACACAGAACAACAAAAATGCAAAAGATGGATCAAAGAAACGATAGAAATAAGGACAACTGGACACTTAACCATGAACAGAGACAATGTAGTATTCACGTTGGATCACGCATGGGACAGTGTCATCGGCGAGGAGGACGCGGGCAGTAGATGGCGACATCGTCCTCTACTGCCCGCGGATAAACAGAAGTGACGTCACCAACACCGACAAACTGTAAGGTAAAAAACTATTTTTTTACTAAGCTGTAAAAATATAATAAAGTAACGGATTATGAAGTTACACACAGAACAAATGCGCAAAAGAGTGAAAGATAACGTCCTAACCTGTGCATCTGTGCTCAGGGATGAAGAGTGTTCCTCTGCTATGCTGCTAAAGTTCATTTCCAGCTGGACGAAGCTAAAAAGGATGTGTGGCATGGGTCCTGAAGGTAAAAGAAATTCTCAAACTGCAAAGAAAAGGCAGCTGTTGGACACACCAACCAAAGATCTACCAATAGCTGAAGAAGCTATGGTGAGCTTTGGGCAGAAAAAAAAAACACATTGAGGAACTGACTGCCTTGAACTCTGGTGCTGTGAAGAACATCGAGTCATCTGCACGCAACACATTCTCACACCCAAAGCAGCTGAAACTGACGAAGGGCGACCAAGTGTTTGTTTCTGACGCGTTGGGGCTGCCAACGCATCGAGAGGCGACGCACTGTGCCAGAGCTTCGCTTTTTGATGCCCGCGGTAAAACGGATATTTCATCGACATTTTACCTCTAACCTCTGGCGATTTAACCGTCCCCTCGCCATCTTAGGGCTGGGTGATTTGGCCCAAAATCAATATCAAAATATATTGAGGATTTCACCTTGATAACGATAAATGGACGATAACTACTGGCATGGGCAGAGACAAAAGTTGTCCACTAGATGGGGCTGTCGCATGTATTGTTGAGTCACATTTTTACGTGACTCATGGTGGTACAGCTTCATAAAAGGACATGAACATTGTCAACCTACACACATCCTTTCCTTTTTTTATTATCAAATTTAATGGCATGGGGAAAATTCTCTCGATAAGAGATAAGCCTGGTTCATGCTTCTCCGTCAGCTCCGCAAGGGACAGACACGCACGGATTGACGGAAGCGTTTTGCTCTCATACTTCTCCGTCTCCTGGAGAGTGTTGCAAAGCAATTGCCCGGCAGGACCACAGAGGGCGTAGCGCTGTTCTGTGGTATCCTGTCATGTATCGGTCCAGGATCGTGTGTTTATATTGTGTTTTTTGTGTATATAAGAGACTTTTAACACGGACATATTTGTCTCTCATTCTCCCACCTCTTCATGCGCTCCCCACCTCTAAACCCACGTTTCCTGTCATTTCCGTCCACAAATAAAACGCTTCCTGCGCATCTTTTCACTCCTCCAGTCACGGGAGGATAAAACGTTCATATTTTTAGAGTTTTTTCGCGAGACATTCTTCAAGCTTCTCCGTGTCTGCCGCTAGTTATCCTCGGCTCTCTTTGCAATGGCGGCGCTGTAAACAACAGCAGCGTCCTGACCAATCACAAGCTTGCGTTATCCGTTTCGTTCGATGGATGTTTAAAAAAGTGGGCTCGACTCCGTACGTACTTGCGTGCCTGCCGGATCCCTACGCGAGGACGGATAATGGCGTTGCGTGTGCTCTGCACTGACGCAGACGGAGAAGCATAAATCAGGCTTCAGAAATTTCTGTAACGATAAATTTTCGATATATCGTCCAGCCCTACCCCATCCTAACCTTAACCCAGTTTCTCGTTCTGAATTTCCCATTAACCGTGTTTGAGACAGACATTTCGACAAGTAACGAGGTTCTGCATGTGCAAGTGGGTTAAAGTTAGAATGAAGGTGAGGGGAAGGTTGAATTGCAAGAGAGTAAAGGTCACAATAGGGGTCAGAAAGTGACGCTCTGGCACAACGCGTTGCCTCCCGACGCGTAGGGGCTCCCTTTGTCAGTTTCAGCCGCATTGGGTGTGAGAATGTGTTGCTGCACGAGCTTGATCCCTTTGTAACTGATGTGTGGAGAGCACATTACCTGAAGAAATAAAAAATCCTGCAACGTGTCAATGCTCATTCTTCAGACCCTCCATGAAAAGGTTGGTCACATGGTTGCAACTCTTCGCTAAACAGGACTCGACTGAGTCTTTGGTATTCTGGAGTCCTAACTTATAGTGATTCTAGTGGATTTCTACATGTCATTTTACGGTTGTTTACATGGAATCCAACAGGTTTGTTTGTGGGAGTGAATGTGAGTAGCAGCAGCTCTTCGTCCAGAAATCTAGTCTAGAAGGAAGTTTGGAATGTTTCATTTTTCTCTGGTTTTGACTTTAGTTCTGAAACTTTTCCAAGTCACCTGGGAGGGAGGGAGGCTTCTACCTTTGTCAAACTCAGCAGCGGTTTGCTGTAAATCATTTTGACAGCTCTATGTTTGCTCAGTAAATGTTTATCATCTGATTCACTTCCTTTCATTATGTGTGTCATCACTTAGAAATTACTCGCTCGCACACCTGAGCATTCTGGTTTAGCTGCCTGAAACTGGGTGGGAGTGCAAACAGGTCAGGAGTTCTTACAAAAGATTGATGTTTTCAGTTTTGTTCACTTGTGCCTTTTCATCAGGTTTAAATCTGTACTTGTATCCGTACGGTCTCAGGTGGTAGGTCAGGTACTCCAACACGTACTGCTGAACAGCATAGATGTAATGAAAAGAAATCACAAAGTCTGAGCAGCAGCCTGGACCCTGGAGACAGAGATGACAGAATGCATTTATTAGCTTACCTTAGCTAAACACCATCAGTAATTACATCTACACACAGTCAGAGGTGAAGTTTCACATGAAATCAGTGATTCAGTGGTTGTGTACTGGTGTAAACACCAGCAGTGTTTTCCCAGGGGTCGAGTCCAGCAGGACGTTCTGATTGTAAACATCACACAGCCACTGGGACAAGTGAGGGAAGATGAACATGGCTATTCACTCTAGTCACACCCATGCCTCAGTAGCGAACCACATTCCTCATTTATGCTGTGGTCAGATGCTCCCGCGTTCCCCCTCTCCTTTCACTTCCGTTATGTTAATCTTCACTAAACTGTCAGGAGTCACGCTTCCCCGCTGACTCAGAACCCTGTTTGGAATCCAAACCAAAAGAACTTCACAGTTATTCCTTTTGTTGTCCGTTTTCCTCACTACTGTTAGGAGTGGTCTGCATTTGCAAAAAACTAAATAAAAATCAGGAGTCCTGTAACATTAACCCTCTCAGGCTCAACATAAGTTTTGATAAAATGACGGACAACTAAGTCCTTCAGGGGTACTTCTGAGTTAACAAATGCTCTTGAAATACGTATGTGGAGTAACCAGGTAAGAAGGTTTTAACGCTACAAATCTGCAACGCCTGCCTCCAGAGGCTTAGAAACAGTGCTTTGCCTCTATGACACATTCCTTCCATCCATCTTCCATCCATCCAATTTCAGCCACTTATCCGGGGTCAGGTCACAGGGCAACAGCCTAAGCAGGGAGGCCCAGACTTCCCTCTCCCAAGCCACTTGGGCCAGCTCTTCCAGGAGAGTCCTCAGGTGTTCCCTGGCCAGCCAAGAGACATAGTCCCTCCAGCGTGTCCTGGGTCTTCCTTTATGTCCCCTCCCTGTTGTCCCCAGGAGGTATCCTAACCAACTGCCCAAGCTACCTCAACTGGCTCCTCTCGATGTGGAGGAGCAGCGGATCTACTCTAAGCCCCTCCCAGATGACTGAGCTTCTCATCCGATCTCTAAGGGACAGCCCAGGCATCCTGCAGAGAAAACTAATTTGCCCGCTTGTATCCGCGATCTCGTTCTTTTGGTCACTACCCAAAGTTCTCTCAGAGCTCTCTCTTTCCAAGACCGGTACAACGCCCGCATCGCTGCAGACGCAGCACCAATCCATCTACCGGTCTCTCCATCTTTCCCTCACTGAACAAGACCCCGAGATACTTAAACTCCTCCACTTGGGGCAGGACCTCATCCCTGATCCAGAGAAGGCATTCTACCCTTTTCCGACTCAAGACCATGGTCTCGGATTTAGAGGAGCTTTTTCTCATCCCAGCTGCTTCACACTCGGCTGCGAACCGCTCCGACGAGAGCCAAAGATCACGTTCTGATGAAGCCAACAGGACCACATCATCTGCATAAAGCTTTATTTTCTTCTGGATCAAAGTTCATCGAAGGTTGCAGAAAAGTACTATTATCAAGAGTCTGGTTGAATGAAATAATAATAATAATAATAATAATAATAATAATAAAGTACATTTTTATATTGCTTTTCCAAGTCTGCAAAGTGCTTTCAAATCAACTTTATTTATATAGGTTTTTTCATACCAAAAATGCAACTCAAAGTGCTTTACAGATTAAAATGGCCCCATAGATCCCACATTCCCATCCCAGCCCCCCTCCCCAAGTATAAAACAATTAAAAATTACAGTTCCCCTCCCGCACCCAACTTCCAAAGTGGACATACAATCACCCGCACACTCGTCCATGCACACACACACACACACACACACACACACACACACACACACACACACACACACACACACACACACGCACACACACACACACTCGTGAACACCAGAGGAAACAATAGGCTGAGTTCAGATGGGTCAGGTAATGAACGACACATCATCAGCGGAGCCATCTGCCCTGGCAGCAACAGATCCACGGCAGCAGCCAAGACACCGGCCGATGACGCCCAGTGGGCTTTACATTACAATTATTCACACACACATTCACACACTGGTGTTGATGAGCTACACCATGGGTGTTTCCACTCTTGGGACTTCCGGGTAATTTCACCTGAACTTTGCTGCATGTGCATGTCTCCATTTTACCAGACCGACAAAAGGATAAATTTCCAGGCGAAGACGATGCACCTGAACTGGGGTGTGTACTCAGAAAGGCCTGGTAGAGTCGCTGAGCGGGACTTGTGGTTAAAACATGCTGATTGGCTGAAACTCAGTACGAAATTCATTCTCACAGACTCTCTGTCACGTTTGTGCATTGCCAGCACTTTCATGAACAGCAGCTTTTTCCCCTTCTCCACTTCTTCATTGTGTTTTCGCTCCATCTAGATCGTGATGAAAATGGCGCACACCGGTGCACCGAGCAACTGGGGGCGGGTGTCTCATGATATAACCGTCCCCTGAAGGAAATTCAGATGAGCCACAGAGCTGCGTGTATTAAGGGGATGGCAGATCAAACTCCCGCTGACTTTATTTGCCAAATGCAGGAAGAGCCAAAGTGCTTGACTGCTGCAGAGCCAGAGCCTGCAGGTTGAAACCTTCGCCATCTCTAATAGAAGCGTGAATCTGCAGCAGCAGCAGGCGTAAATTGGTGGTCTCCAGTTCTGCTGCTGTACTTTTCTTGTCAGCCCGGCAGAGAAAGGACTGGTCGGTCCTTATGCATTTGCGCAGATTATCATTCTCTTTTCTTGAACCTGTAAGAACGGTTCGGAGCGTAAAGAGTTATCCGTTGCTAATCTGCAGGGAATGTCTCCAACAAAGTTCTGCAGAAAGTAACAAAGGGTCCTCAGAAATGTCGCTAGGTTTGTCACTAGGCGCTTTTTGTAAAACAAGTCGTTGAGAGGGGTTGTAAAATCGCTCAGTTGGCAACATTGAGCCACAGATAGCAAACGCTATGGGCTGTGCCTGTGCATAAACGCGCATCATGTATTATGCTGCCTCTGGTAGGCACTGGGGGAAGGTGCTTGTTAGACCCCAACATGCCCTTTTTCTGTGATTTTACAGGAACACAGAGGCAATCACAGTAAAAATACCATGGATCATTCTACAGAACCAGGGCATTGCAGGGGAATGTATGAGGAAGACATTTAAAATTTCTATACATGTACTGGTTGTTAAACTTCCTTATAGTCCAGGGGTATTATGTTCCAGGCCTGGAGGGCCGGTATCCAGCATGTTTTAGTTCTAGCTCTGTTTCAACACACCTGATTTCAATCAGCAGCTGATTAACAGGCTTCTGCAGAGCCTGATGAGCTGCTGCACAGGTGATTCAACCTCAGAGAAGCCATTAAAACCTGTTGGATACCAGACCTACGCGACCGGAATCAAATGCCCCTGCTATGTGTGATGCGATAGAGAACACACAGCAACATGAGTTAAGAACTGTAATAAAGTGTATGGTTAGCTTACTTATACAAAACTGGAACATCAATTTTATTTGGGAAAAGATTAGCATTTTATTTGTGTTTTATCCCACTCTCACAGCATGAGAATTTTCCACAGAGAATCTAGTTGTGGTAGAAGGAAGCTTTCAGTGTAGTGACTGCATGCTTGCTTGAATGATGAGTTTCACACTTTTGATTTTGTTTGACATATTTAAAGCTTGACATATAAACATATATATATATATATATATATATATATAGAGAGAGAGAGAGAGAGAGAGAGAGAGAGAGAGAGAGAGAGAGAGAGAGAGAGAGAGAGAGAGAGAGAGAGAGAGAGAGAGAGAGAGAGAGAGAGAGAGAGAGAGAGAGAGAGAGAGAGAGAGAGAGAGAGAGAGAGAGAGAGAGAGAGAGAGAGAGAGAGAGAGAGAGAGAGAGAGAGAGAGAGAGAGAGTTGGTTATTTTTGTGCATAACCTTTAGTCCCTAGCAAGAAGTTCATGAGAAGTCTGGGTGTCTGGTTCGGCCTGAGTGAGCGTCTTCCTGACGCTACATGGTGACCGAGCTCAGCTTTCTGCCTCTGTGCTCTTTTGCCTCTGCCCCTCCGCTCTGTCTCGCCATGAGCACCGTGCTGGACTCTGCTAGGCGAAGGTCTGCTTTGTGTCCCTGTCCTCAGGGCTGTGGGTTTTTTTCTCCATGAGAAGCACCTGTACGAAGCCTGTCCTGTCTACATGTGGATTCTTCATACCAACAGAGCTCTCTTGGCCCCAGAGGTGTGCAAGTTCTGCGGCCAGCTCCATTGTCCCACGCTCGATCGGCGTGTGAACTTTCTCCATGTCCTGGGGGACGCTGTGGGTTTGTCGCAAGTTGCAGCAGGTTGCACAGGTACAGTTTTACAAAATGCTAATGGTCAAGCAGTGGCCAAATACCGACAGCCCTGGAGATTGGTTTGTTGCGATCAATCTCGTGGATGCATATTTTAATGTGGGGATTTATCCCAATCACAGGTAGTTCCTGTGCTTCGCGTTTTAAGAGAAAACCTATGAATATTTGGTTCTCCCACTTGGATTAGCCCTAGCTCCCCGCACCTTGTCTAAATGTGTGGAAGCTGTGTTAGCACCTCTCAGAGAGAGGGGCATCCGCGTTCTTGCCTCCTTGGGCAATTGGGCTCTGGTAGCAAGTTCTCGGGTGCATGTGGAGGCTCACGCTTCCAAGTTTCTTTCTCGTGTTTGAGCCCTGGGCTTTCTCATTTAAATTACAAGAGCTCCCTAGATCTGAGCCAGAAGGTTTCCATCATCGGACTAGAAATACGCTCTCGGTCAACTAGAGCGCACCTCTCGGATCACCGGATAGCCACGTTCCACAGCGACATGACCCGCTTCCAACCGGAAGCCAATCCAACATTCTTCACAGCTTTAGAGCTTTTGGGCATAATGGCTTCCAATGTAGCCATGGTGCTTCTTGGTTGGTTATAGGTGGGGTGCAAAACTTCCAGCATTGGGTGGGCTCTCACCGTCTCTGTCTCTCATGTCATCTTCACCAGAAGTGGACCATCCCCAGGGCCTGCATAGCGGCTCTTCTCCCATAGAGA